GAAGTTAAACATACGATAGTGGACGACATAAAGAACAGTCAACTCATATGGTACGGGCATGTCCAAAGAATGGCAGAAATAAGAATCCCAAAGCAAATTATAAACTGGAAACCTGCAGGAAGAAGAAAACCGGGTAGACCGAGAAGAAGTTGGCAGGAAGGGATTGACACGTTTATGGAGAAAAGATCTCTCGGAGACGGTGAATGGAGAGACAGACAGGCATGGAGAGATGGCATCGGAAGACGTAGAACGTTTTAAACCGATTAATATATATACATAGGGATAATTAAAAAGTTTCCTTGCATCTGTCAAATATGAGATTTAAAGAAATATCTAATTTCTGGTCGAAATTAAAAAAAAATAACTTTTAATTTTTCATTAGCATACCAATTTTCAGCCATCCACATGTAAAAAAATCGTGATTTTTTATCAGTATCTACAGTAGTGATGGGATCGATATGTCTCGAGGATTTTTGTCAATCGTCGAGGATTACTTCTTGAGATTCCCCGAATTACTTGTTTTCATTTGACCTGAAAGATTACCAGAGAAATCTCAAAATAAGAGTTAAATAAACAAAATAAGCATGTTCTTAAGCACAACCTACCAAAAGTATATTTCTCCCTATATATAAAGTGTATTAACCTATATAAAGTGTATTTCTCCCATCAAATTATATACACGAAGATATAAAAAAAACTATGAAAAAACCTATTTAAAATAGGTAATTATTTATTTTTATTACAATATAATTCCGGTTTCTCAGGTACATGCTAACAATGTGTGAACAAACAGCAAGCAAAATGCGCCGATCATTATTCGGGTATCGATCGATCGATAAAATTATATGACCGAGGATTCCTCGGATGATCATCCGATTATTGGAATCCTCGAGGATTGAGGTCATCCGATTATTCCCAACACTAATCTACAGGGTCCGGTAATGGTAAGTCGGACATCTGTAGCTCCTAGATTAAAAAATTTGGGAATTTAAAAACTTGGGAAATTTGGGAAAACTAAAGTATGTACTAGGATGTATTTCAGGAAAATATTTTAACTTCTATAGGATGGCTAAAAAAAGTGCCAGTGGATCGGGGTGATTCTGTATATTATTGCATTTTTGGCTTCCTTTCGGATCATTTTACATAATCCTAAGATATGAGTAAATACATTTCGATAGTTTCAGAGAAAAAAAACATATTTTTCAGCATTTATTAGACAAAAATATTAACAAAAACTCTCCCGAAATCAAAACCATATTAGGTATTTACGCTAGATGGTCTGTACCTACTTTGCTATAAATATGGGAATCGTAAATTATACAGGATCTTCAAAATTCTACACCAAACTTTCTTTTTTTTAATGGAACACCTTGTATATTATTTTTCCAGTAGATGGAGAATTAAAAAATGAACATTTTTTATATTTAGAATACTTCAACATTTTTAACGGTTTTGCAGATATTCGCGGTTTCATATTTCACATGCCATTTTCGACAGTAAATTTTTATCAAAACCACCCAATGATTTTTCTCTCATAATTTTACCCTTGAAAGAGCCATAAATAATACTGCGTGTCATTACTTTAAATACAAACAATGTTCATTACACTCCGTCTAATAAAAAAATACAGGGTGTTCCATTTATTTATTTTTTCCTTTTTTTTATTTGTTTTTTTATTTATTTTATATTTTAGAAAGTTTGGCGTAGAATTTTGAACACCCTGTATGATTTAAGATTACTATATTTATAGAAAAGTAAGTCTAGACCATCTAAAGTAAATACCTAATATAGTTTTGATTTCAGGACAGTTCTCGTATTTGTAATAATTTTTTTAAGGAATGTTAAAAAATATATATTTTTTTTATTTCTTTATTAATATCTCTAACATTATCGAAATATATTTACTTATATCTTAAGATTATGTAAAGCGATCGGAAAGAAAGCCAACAATGCAATAATATACAGGGTGTTCCATTAAAAAAACATTCCGATCCACTCACACTTTTTTGAGCCATCCTATAGAAGTTAAAATATTTTCCTGAAATACATCCAGGCACATACTTTAGGTTTGGACTTAAAGAAAAAACCTCATGTTTTTTAATCTATATAGGAGCTACAGATCGGCGTCGCACTATTGCCAGACCCTGTAGCAACTACATACATATAGTAACGAAAAGTGAAATTTGAGCCAAATTACTTAATAAAAATGCCCGTATGATACTGAAAATACCCTGAAACACTGTATCTGTTTAAAAAAAACAAGTAGTACCTCTCTTCCTTCTTCGTAAACTTCTTCTCCTCCTCAACCCTTTTACAGTACTTCCGTACCACCCCGTAACCACTAGTAATCTCCCTGGTCTCCTCCACTTGCTCCCTCTCCATAGAAAAACTCTCCAAGTTGATCTCCTCCTCGTCAGTGAGATAGTCATAATCCCCTGGCAAACTCTCATATAATCCTTCATCGGTACTGCCCATACTACGGGTCGTAGCATAAAGAGGTGTATCCATTGAAGCTAAGGTACGAATTTCCTTCGTTTTGAACAGGGGTTTCTGGGAACCAGCTTTTCGTTTTTCTGGCGGTACGAAGATCATGGGGTCTAGTTTTAGGGCTGCCACAGCTCTTTGAGGTCGGGATACGACCACTTGGTAGATGTCACTTCGGATGGTACCTTAAATAAGTGCGGGTTTAGTTAAAACTGAAATCTAACTCGAGAGATATCACTGGTCAACAGGTTTAAATGTTAAGGAACAATAATAAGATACAGAGCGATCAATAACGACTGAAATAGTTTAGGTTATTCTGGTTTTGCTCGTTTGGATGCTAATTTAAAAATGTTTAGATTTTTTTAATTTTAAGTAGTTGAAATTCGGAAATAGATTTTGAACACCCTGTAGCATCTAACTAAAATATCTTTACATATATCTTTTTCTTCATCTATATAAAAATTCTCCTACCAAATTTTAGAAGTCCAATATCAGAAACAATGGCCAAATAACTGCAAATTTTTACCCCTCTGAAAACTACCATGAAATATTACAAAAAGTATTAATTTTAGGTATATGACATCATACAGGGTGATCCGAACTGTATTCCGGAAACTTCGACAGCATATTCTGCACATTAAAATAAGTAAAAAAGTTCGTATAAATGTATGTCCTAAAATGCTTAGTTTCGGAGATACAGGGTGTAGGAGGTTCATTTTTATTTGGATTTTTTCCAAATAATTTCTGAAGTAACTGTCCTGATATCATTACGACATAAGGGGGCGCCACCTACATAAAAAAATATGTAGGTGGCGCCCTCTACAAGTAGGAGTCATATTGACATCAAAATCAAATTTCTCATGTTAAAAAACTCCCAGGCACCAATTTTCATCCAAATATTGACGTCACATCAAAAATTATTTGGAAAAAATCGAAATAAAAATACAAATTCTTCACCCTGTATCTCCGACACTAAGCAGTTTAGGACATACCTTTATACAAACATGTTTACTTATTATCTGGAGAATATGCTGCCGAAGTTTCCGGAATACAGTCCGGACCACCCTGTATATATAACAGTTATAGAATTTTAGGTAGAATCTAAAAATAAAATAAAAATAGAGCGCGTTGCATTTAAAAAAAATATACGTTAAGAAATATACGTTTTTAAATCACTCTGTATAGAAGCAATTCTGGACTTGCAGTCAATCGACTGGCTCGTGAAGGATCTGGCCGCTAAAGGTTTTAAGATTAAAGGAATCCAATCTGTGGAACCAGACCAACAGTCCTCGAGGATATTGCCAAAGTGATAAAGGAAAAATCATGAGTGAACACGAGGTCACATCTGCTAAGGGCAGAAAACGGACTATACTTTTTCAAACATGATTTTGGAGAAAAGATAAGGATTCGCATCCCGACAAGAGAAGAATGGGAAAGCAACCGAGTAATGAACACTCAAGAGATGCTTCCGCAAATTCAGGGGGCACAGGTGTAGGCATCTTCTCAGAGAAACTAGACATCCGACGATCTTTGAGGCTATCGGATGGCTGTAATGTTCTACAAGCAGAGGTTTATGCCATAAAGGAAGCGGCGAAAGGATAAGAGAGAAAATTGCTGATAGACCAATAGGGGATATAGTGATATACTCAGACAGCTTGGCCGCTTTAAGAAGCATCGCGATGCAATCAGTGAGATCGAAAACTGTGATGGAATGCCGAGAAGCACTGTCCTGGCTGCGTCGGGGCGGGGCTACTCTGTGCCCGGTGCCAGGCCACAGCAATGTGGTGCGGGCAATCAGGAAGCAGACAGACTCGCCAAAGACGGGGCCAGGGGAGAGGCCGTAGCAGATAACCCACCACTTGTGACGATCAACACACTGAAGGGGGCTATAGGAACTACAATCAAAAGCAGCAAGAGATGTGGCAACACCGTGAGGACTGCGCTACAGCTCGAAGACTATGGCCACTGTTAGATAGATAGCAAAATGACAAAACAACTACTAGAGCACAAAAAAGACCTAGTACGCATAATTGTAGGTGTCGTCACTGGAAACTGTCCCACGGGGGTAAACCTCGTAAGATGGAAAGTTTCCGACAACGACTACTGCAGAGAATGCGGAGAGGAAGAAGAAACCATAGAGCACCTGCTACAAGGTTTTTTGGAGGGCCTATAGGAAGCAGCAGAAGCCAACATCAGCGACATCGGGAACTTTGCAAAGAGCTGGAAGTGCTTTAACGCAAAGAAAGAACGAGAGGAAGGTTTGGTAAAATAATACAGGGGTATCGCAATCCAGGCGGTTTCTTAGCGATAAACTTACAATAAGTCGATCGTCTGGATTAGAAGTTCTCATACGAATATTCCTGGACGTCTATATTGACGTCCTCATGGACCTGGTCATAATTCATAAACTATTTAATATACTTTATGGTATTAAGGTATTTTTGGAACCAGAATTTTATAGCAAATTCACTAAACTCGACTCACCCTGTATATCTATAAAAATATTTTTGAAATGTGAATTACCATTAAACATATATTTTGTAAAAGGTTTGGAGTGAAAATCTGAAATAGGAATTCTGATACAGAGCTTTTTCGGAAAACGGAGCCATCTTGTATGTATGCATTTGTATATGTGTGTGTTTATTTAAATACTAAAGTGAAAGCAACGAATTTAAATAGGTAAAACTTTGTAATATATCTTATTAACAATACAATGCAAAAAGTTTTATAAAAATTCGTTCACAGTAAATGATTTCCGAGGTTTGTATCTCATAAGGGCTTAAATCACTCCACTATAAGAATACCACGGAAAAATTGTTCTGCACCTTATGAATTTTATTGGTAGCCTGTCGTGTGTCATAAAAAAGATCTTTTTACTTATTTTTGTCATCAAAAATAATTAAAAAAGTTCGCATAAATGTATGTCCTAAAATGCTTGGTTTCGAAGATACAGGTACAATTCTAGTTTCATTTTTATTTCGATTTTTTCCAAATAATTTCTGAGGTAACGTCAATATTTAGATGAAAATTGGTGTCTGGAAGTTTTTTGACATGAGAAATTTGATTTTGATGTCAATATGACTCCTATTTGTAGGCAGCGCCACCTACATGTGTTTTAACTGTTTTTAAGAGTAATAACTTTTCGTCCGTACCTGTATAAAACTACTAGGTGAAAAAATATACATTTCCGTGATTTTTTACGTAAAAAATATCTCTTGGTAAAAATGGCTACGAGCAACCGTTTTCGAGATATTTAGAATGGAAATAGTCAATACATGTAATTTTTGACAAAAAATAAGCACGTGGAGTAGATAGTTAATTGAGTGAAATAATAAATCTAGAAAATTTTTATTTTTTTTACATTAATCATACATTATTTTGCGAATATGATGATAAAACAGTTTTTCTTGAACTTTTGGCACAAAAACATTTCAAATTTATGATTTCAGTCTAATAGCTATTTAGTCAACATGTTTAATTTATGTCAATGATGACAGGTATTGAAAATTTCGATAACCATTACTCGTAGCGATTTTTAGAAAGAGACCTTTTTTACGTAAAAAGCGTCGTAAATGTATATTTTTTTACTCAGTAGTTTTATACAGGTACGGACGAAAAGTTATTACTCTTCAAACAAGTTAAAAAATATGTAGGTGGCGCCCTCTACTAGAAGGAGTCATATTGACATCAAAATCAAATTTCTCATGTCAAAAAACACTAAGAAACCAATTTTCATCCAAATATTGACGCTACTTCAGAGATTATTTGGTAAAAATCGAAATAAAAATTAAACTTCTACACCCTGTATCTCCGAAACTAAGCATTTTAGGACATACATTTATACAAAGTTTTTTACTTATTTTTATCTGTAGAATATAGAGGTGTGTATTTCGTGAACGAACTAGTTCCAATGAACTATTCCGACCCCGGAATGAAAGGAACTAGTTCCTGGTTTCTCAAAGGACTAGTTCCTCAGGACCTATTCCGGGATCGAGAATGTGTCCGATATAGAATAATATGCGACGGCAACGGATCGGCTAGCGCGCGTAGCCCCTGATGGTAGGCAGGAGAGGAGTGCCAGACGTACGTTATCGGATCCGGACCTAGAGGAACTAAACTAAACTAAATACTAATGTAGTTTACGTACGAACGGATCGATGAGCGCGATCGATGCTAGGCAGGAGTGGGGAATGCCAGCCTTATGCCGTATGTTATCGGATCCGGACCTAAAGGAACTAAATAAAGACTAGTTTACGTATGGATCAGCCAGCGCGATTGATGCTAGGCAGGCGTGGGGAGTGCGAGCTGTATGTTATCGGATCCGACATAGAGGAACTATATTAAAAGACTAGTTCACGGGAATCTATTCAGTTTTCCCCACATATTAGCAGGAATAATATGGCGCTGATACATCTTCGGCGACTGATTCCTCTGAGGTGGACTTTTTTAGCGGGTATCAACACGAGTCCCACACTGCTCTAGGGTTATTCCTATGGCCATCTCTCTCGAGATGGTCATGAAATGATCACTATTCGTCTAAAAAAAAGTAAAAGATTTTTCTCAACCACCCCTCACAAAAAAAAAAAAAAAAAAAAAAGGAATCTATTCAGTCGGCAGATCTGAGGTATAATACAAGGCGACGACGATGGATTCGGCTTTGTCTATTGCCGCAGCCGGCGCGGCGCGGCGTAATTACAAAGAAAATTGTCGTGGATACTGTTTTTGATTTTAGTTTGTTTTTTAAATATTTTATAGAAATGTTTCACTTTAGGTCCCTAAAATTAAGAAATATCTTATAAAACGAAGTAGATATTCTGAATTTTTAGACAAAAACAAAAAGCTTGAAGTGAGGAAAATGCAATTTTTCGTAAATTTTTGTAATATTTGTCTCCAATTGATTTGTGATATAATTTTTTAAATTCTGATTTGAGTTTTTTTTTTTAATTTTTTTTATCTGCTATAAAACTTACCTATATGTTTTTAACATAAACAATTACACGTCTCGTTATATCTCCGTACATTATAAAAAATTATACGAGATCATACTGTGAATAGTTCTGACTGACAACGAAACGCATTAGCAAGCAAGGGGGATGTCAATGTTAGTCGGGAACTATTGTGAACTAAAGACCTAGTTCAAGGAACTATTCCTCTGGAGGAACTAGAACTAAGGAACTAGCAGTTCGGACCACCCTGTATATGTAGTTACAATGACTTTTAAAACATTTGCAAACTATTGGATGAACAGAAAAAAATTTAATGTGATTTTTGTTTTCATAAAAAAAATTATAATAAATCTTCAAACTATTCGATTTTTCTTTGGACGACTACCGAAAATTATTAACAATGTCTAAGAAACTAAATTTAAGATAAACATGAATTTTTTGGGTGATTTGTTCCAATAAAACCATCAAATTTGCTGTAATGCATAAAATACCTTACAATTTGCGATGAATTGAACTTTGGCCTCAAATAACTCTTAAACTATTAGGTTTCTCGGAAAATCATAAGAGACCTTTTTTGTAGAACGTTCAATTCTATATAAAAATAAGTAAAACGATATTTTTTTATGACACACGGTAGGATAGCAATAAAATTCATAAGGTGCAGAACAAAATTTTTCCATGGTATTCTTATGGAAAATAGAAAAGCGTGATGTGGGCAGTCTTAATATTAATATTAAGAGCTCAAATTTTAAGTGGTATCTTTTTACGTCAAATTGAAACTTTTGAGACTGTTTGCAAGAAAATGTTTTATTTTATTGAATCACCCTAGTGCCCGTAGGTTGGAAGTATTCCGCTCAGATACTCCTATCCCTGTTCCTGCTTTGGTTCTGGAAGCATCGATATACCATATTATGGTATGGTCTTCTAACTACTGAGCAAACGTTTCTCTCTTCCAACTCTTCTGTTGCCCAATACTACAATAATGAGGTGTTTCTCAACATTGAACATTCTTGATATGTCATCCACTGGGAGTTGGAGAGGTGGAATTTTCCTTTTGAGGGTGTTCCAAGCTCCTGAGCTGACAATTCTCTCAATATTGTTTCCGTCAATGACCATTCTAATCACTGTCGCATTCGCATATCTACTAATCACAATGTGCAATGGTTTCCACTGCTCTATAGTTCTTCTCATGACACATCTTTGAAGGCTAGCATAATCTTTAGAAAATTATTATTGTTACACACTACAACACTAATTTTTTCGTTTTCAAACAAAACTAGAGGCTCTAGTAAATCAACAACATACGTATTGGTTATATAATAATATTTATTGCAGTATTTTACCTAAGCTGAATTATTTAAAAATCAATAATACGAAATATACAGAGTCGGCAACAATAAATACAAATTTCATACAAAATTTTATACAATTAAAACAAGCTGAGTTTTTTTTAGTTTGTTAATGAAACAGAAATAATACAAACATGTTTACTGATTATCTGAGAATAGTGCCAAAGTTTCCGGAATACAGTTCTGAACAAATTCTGTATATATAACAGTTATAGAATTTTAGGTAGAATCTAAAAAATAAAAATAAAAATAGAGCGCGTTGCATTTTAAAAAAAAATATACGTTAAGAACATGTTTTAAATCACCCATACTCTATAATAACTTCAAAAATGTGTATCTTTAACCTTCCCTATAACTTTTATATTTGACATTTTTTTGTAAACCTCGAAACAAATAAGATAATGGACTTTAATTTATCGTTGACTCACCCTGTAAAATAAAATACATTTTGAAATTGATATCAAGAAGTTATTTCTTTTAACGTCTTTTAGCACAATATTACCAAACTATTTCTATCTTTTTTGATCATTTCGTATTTTTAAAAATGATTTTATTTAAACTCATAACTACAGGGTGTCCCAGAAATAAGTGCAAGTATTTTAAGGGGTGGTATTGATCTCGATAAAAGAAACATATTATTTTCCCCTTATCGTTTTTCAAATCCGCTCCAAAATAACGGAGTTATTTTACTTTGAAAATTTTAAAAAAATATATTTTTTGCTAAAACTTTGAGAACCACTGCACTGGATCTTTTCTGGATAGTCTTTCTTGTAAATTTAATCTAATACCTATGTTGCCATATTATCAAGAAATTATGTTTTTTAACTAAAAACTAAAAAAAAATTTCCAAAATTTTCGAAATTTCAATTTTTTTTCGCGAAAAAAACCTCATAGGCGTATTTCTGGGGTTGAACTATCAAAGACTTGGCCAGTGTTATCTCATAAATCAAATAATCAGCATCAACTTACCATTATCCTTCTCTTTACTCTTACTCTTCTTCCCTTTATTCTTCTTCTTCTTACTACTCCTCCGCCTCAAAGAGGTCCTTTTCGTGTCCACAACCAACGCACCGCTAGTCCTTTTGAAGTACCCATCCCGACTCACACTCAACTTCGGTTTGGGCCGCGACTTTTTCCGAAAAAAACCTTTCGTCGATGACCCATTAGGGGCGAAATTCGCGTGAAAATCACTCAGACGCGGAGCACTTATCGAAAAACTAAACCCGGAATCCTTACTGGAGAACAAACCAGTCGACGTAGTGTTATTGCTGGTCGAACTCAAAGTCCTCGTCACCGGAGGCGTGGAACGTTTATGCAACCGGTTAGACACCAAAGGATCGTCACGAAGGTCCTTCAAAGCACTGTCCAGCGAATGGTGAGCTGGTGGTGGATTCGAAGCAGAAGAAGACTTAGGCATTTCCAGACTTCTAGGCGTCATGACTTGAGGAGCATCCATCCAAATTCTTCCTAAACTTATCGAAAGAGAACACATCTCTTCAGTACCGGAATCTGTAGGTAGAAGTAGCGGTGTAGGACTCTGTCGTGATCTTCTTCGAACCAAGGGACTTTTCTTGACTTCAGTTGAATCACCCCAAGGAAACATCTCAACTGCAGAATCATTACTCTCCTTTCTACAAAGGTTTGAGGTGACTTGGTTATAGATATGAGTTGTAGAAGTGTTGTTTTTCTTCCTTACAACCGGAGATGAAGACAGTTGTCGTATTACTGGACTCGAAGGCCGTTCATCTGATGCAGGGACATAGATAATTGTTCTTTCAGATCCTTTAATTGATGTTGAAACTGGAGCGTCTTCTTTTCGTATTTCCTGCAACCACTGACTGTACGCCACAACGCTATTACCTTCTTGATTCTGTTTCCGATAGTTTTTACTACAAGCTATCTCTTTCCCAGACTTAATAGTCGCATTTAAATCAACTTTATCAACTTGAACCGATGTATCAACCTTCTTAACGCCTTCCTCCGGTAACTGACTCAGTAATTCCTCTTCAGTGACTGTCTGAGTAGCTACTTCAAGCTTGGGAATGATCTTCTTCTTCCCCTATCCAGGTAACTCTTCCTGATCGAGATTCTCTTGAAAGAATCGCTCCTTTTAAACGATGATTCTTTGTCTTTCTTTTTTCTGCCGCCGCCCATGAGGCGACGCAAGTTTTCGAAAGTTATAGGCTTCATCTTCAGGGTTTTTTGGAGGTTTAGGTGTTCAAATGCAGCGGTGGTGCTGTCGGTTGATTTTTGGCGATGGTTCGCCACATTTTAGTGTTTTTGTTTCGCTGTTTTGGAGTGTGTTCGGTTAGTTGAGAGCTTCATATCGCTAAACCTGAAGATAAAATAAAATTGGTTAGTGGTCTAAGGGTTAATGTAATAATAAAATTGCTCTTTGGTCGGAATCACAGGTACACATGTAAACGTGATTTTTATTCGCTGTGAATATGAATTTTACCGTGTTTATATATTATTATTATTATATTTATTGAAGGTTATGAGGTGAATCTTTTAACGATTGCCGTGATATATATCGTAGTTTCCTATATCAACTGGGGCATTCTTTCTCATAGATATACCTTGCCAATAAGACCAACGTTCAACAATAATTCTGTTTTCTGTTTATTTTCAAACGCTCTTTTGGAGATATCAAATGGTCAATCTAAGATTACAAATTCGTCCCCTAGATCAATTACTGTTCTCGTATGACTACAATAGCCTATATTTTCTTATGGTGTACCGTTTAATTAGTAACAGCAGTTTTAATAAAACCGGTGACATGACGAAAATCGCCAATTTTCATGGCTCATTTTCAAATACCTTAAAAACATAGTAAACATAGTCATAAAGTTATAAAAATTACAGAATTTGTAGGAAATTTTATATAGATTCAGAAAATATACACCTTTGAGTGGTTAGGTATCTTGGCTTTGTCAGAAAATCAATTTTTGGACCCTTGTTTTTCAGCTTTTTGATGAAGATTAAAATGTCCCCTAGATCAATTACTGTTCCCGTTAGTGGAGTATCTAGAGATTGAGTCTGGGGGGGGGATGAATTTGGATTGGCCTGGGTTTTGTATTTTGGTTGGTATTATTAATTCCTTTTGTGACAATATATTATTTTATAGGTACCGGGTGTTCCATCGTCGGACGGGACATAGAAAATCCCCTGTAAATTTTAATGGGGTCAATTATTGGCTTCCCTAATTATTTTAGAGAATAATTCTATTTAGGTTTATTGAAGAGCACAAAAAAAACCCACATTCAAAAGAATAACTTTAGATATTTTTGATTAGCTCGTTTACGAGTAATCGCCGATTTCTTTTTAAATATTTCTTCTTCTGGCCCTGTATTTACTTATGAGCACCAGTCAAGGTAAAAGATAACTATCAAATGAAGTTGTCATTTCAGAAATTTACTTATTTAGTGTTTTATTATTATTGAAAACTCATTCCTACATCGGAAATCTTAAAGATGTATTTATAAATACAAATTAGTATGAATTAAAGTAAAATAAAGTAATCAATTACAAGGTTAATTATAGTATTATTACAATATTCAATAACTTATTAATTTAGGTACCTACTATTAAATTGTTAGAACTTTAGGATTTAAGAAGATGTTCAAATATTCCTTCATCGACTGCTAGACAATAACCCAGGCGATCATAAAATTCTCTTCTTACATTCGCTAGTTGGTAAACTGAAAGTCTATTGCATTCGGCAGAAATAGCATTTTTTAACTCGTCTAGATTTGGGTATTTTTTATCTATATGTTTTTTAAATGGCCCCAGAGAAAGAAATCATTTGGCGAAATATCAGGAGACCTTGCTGGCCAATTTACTGTATTATTTAGGCCAATAACGTTTCCGTTAAAACTATTGTCTAAATATTCCCGAACAGCCAGGTACTATGTGCCGGACAGCCATCCATTTGGTACCAAACTTCCTGATTTTCCCTAACGGCATCATGTAAAGTAGGTAAAATATGATTTTCGAGTAGTTCCAAATAATATTCTGTATTTAAATTTCGCGTAAGGAATAATGGCCCGATAATATTGTGTCCGAATATCTCTGAATAAACATTTACTTTCTGTGGATATTGCGTTTCCACAAATCTGTATTGGTTTTCTTTGTTCCAATATCGATAATTTTGAACATTGGGTTCATTATTTAAGGTAAACGTGCATTCGTCAGTGAAACATATGTTTTTTAAAAATTCCCTATCCGTGTTTGCTCTTTCCATTATATCAAAACAAAACGCCTGCCGCCGTATTTCGTCCCCATCTCGTAGCTCTTGGTGCTTTTCATATTTGAAGGAATAGTATTTATGTCGTTTCAAAATTCGAAACGCTGTAGTGTGATCTATTCCTATTTCATCCTCAAGTTTCCTTGTGCTGATCTTTCCATCGTTCTCTTCCACGCACAATAAAACTTCCAAGTCGGTATCATTTCTTGCATCTTCTCTTTGTTCCTGCCTTGCTTCACATCTGCAGTTATTTATTAGGGTACCTTTGGTCTCAAATCTCTGGATATTCCTTGCGATTGTAGATTTTCCAGGTATCGGTCTATTCGGATACAGAGCAGCAAACATGTCCGACACCTTTTGATAACTATTTCCTTGATAATACCATTTAATCATCAATACTTTTTCTTCGGTAGTGTAATTCATGGCTAATATTTTCGATGTAGGTATGAGTTTTTAATAATAATAATAAAGCACTAAATAGATAAATTTCTGAAATGACAACTTCATTTGACAGTTATCTTTTACCTTGACTGGTGCTCATAAGTAAATACAGGGCCATAAGAAAGGAGAAATATTTAAAAAGAAATCGGCAATAACTCGTAAACGGGCTAATCAAAAATATCTAAAGTTATTCTTTTGAATGTGGGTTTTAATGCTCTTCAATAAACCTAAATAGAATTATTCTCTAAAATAATTAGGGAAGCCAATATTGACTCCATTAAAATTTATATGGACTTTCCTATGTCCCGCTCGACGATGCAACACCCGGTATATATAAGCATATTTATAAATGTCTGTCTGGCAGGGGTAATATCAACCATTACCCATATAATATATATACGCTCCTGTCTAATTGTGGTTTGATTTAAAATGATAACCCTTTACCATTACCAGCAACTGTATACGCTTTAGTTAAACTTATCGAATAAAATATTTAACATTAACACAGGCCGAATTACGTAAAGTTCGGAGCAACTGAACTTCTTAACGACCCAGCGTTCATAAGAGGCGAATGTGTGACAAGTAGATGCAAACTGTGCAGGACAAGTCGACGAGGCGAACCCGCTCTTTAGAATTCATAACGAAATATATTGCCCGTGCTTTAGCTCGGCGTGTCGTATAAGTAACAAAGGAATTTCTTTGCATACTCTATGCCTGCATTACGCAATCGATTCTGACAGGAACGAAGAGTTACGAGCTGTACATTTGGCCGAGCCTATTCGCAGACGGATATTGTTTACGGCTTGAATAATATCGCTTATTTATTGTTTATATCCTATATAAAAGAAATTATACTCATTTTCATTCATTTTGTCCTCTACTCCTACGTGGAGCATAGTAGATGTAGCTTGGCGATCTAGAGCCTCGCAATGGCATATTATATGCTCTCTTATTTCAGAGAATTTATAAGGAGTTTCTGCTAGAGGTGTGTAGTTCGTGAACGAACTAGTTCCAGTGAACTATTCCGACCCCGGAATGAAACGAACTAGTTCCTGGTTTCTCAAAGAACTAGTTCCTCAGGATCTATTCCGGGACCGAGACTGTGACCGATATAGAATAATATGCGACGGCGACGGATCGGGTAGCGCTCGTAGCCCGATGGTAGGCAGGAGTGGGGAGTGCCAGCCGTACATTATCGGACCCGGACCTAGAGGAACTAAATAGAGATGGGCAAAAGTAACCGGTTTTTTGAATAACCGGTATTTTCCTCTAAAATAACCGGTTATTTAAAGGTAGTTTTTTTTCACCAGTTAACCTAATAACCTTGCATTACGTTCAATAACCTATAGCCGGTTATTTTTTAAAAAATCGTACTTGTTTAAAACAAGTAACAATTAAATATTAGCTGTTTGAATCGTAAATTTCGAAGGAGCGAACGGCACGGATCTTCCAGATATTACGACGATAACGGGAGATCCCGCTCCCGCTCCCAAAACGAAAATATATGACATCAAACATCAAATGTCAAAATTAAATCAGGCATCAGGCGAACCCTGATGATAATAATCAAAACAACGGCCAAATGGCCCTGACAGGTCAGGCCGTAAAACAAAGTACTAATGGCATAGACTACTACTAGCCACCAGCTAGCCAAGTGATACGAACCTAACTTCAAATAGATTCTCTAAATTCTATATTTAAATTTTAACCGACTTTAACGGATTTTCAACGGTTCTTCAAAAGTCTTCCATGGTTTCGCCCAGTTTCACCCACGTTTCACCGTAAATATATTTTATTTGTAGTTTGAAGTCTCTCTTGAAGCTTAGACTAAAGAATACAAAATTAAAGTTCAAGTAATGAATGAAGATAATCTTTCATTATCTATTCATTCAGTCTCCTTATTTTTCTTTGGTATTTGATTAAAATAACTTGGTTGTAGATTGTAGAACTTGTGAGTTGTGTGGTTTTTTGAACGTTAAGTAATTACTAGTTTTAATATCATATCCATCTCTACTCAAAAAAAGTGAGGTTAGCATTTTTATTTAAATTCATTTTGTATATATACATACTTACATTGCTACAATCTCTATTTAATCATGCGATTTAACTAAGTTTATTATCTAAATTTGAAGTAGACCTATGGAGTGTAGAGGTAAGTAAACCTATAGGAAAACTAAATATTTAGTTTTGCTAGGTTAGGTTATTTGAATAACCGGTTAATTTGTGTCGGTTAATTTTGTCAAGTTATTATTTTTTAAAGATAATTCCGGTTAACCTATAACCGGTTTTTTACCAATAACCGCCCATCTCTAGAACTAAACTAAATAAAAGACTAGTTTACGTACGAACCGATCGGGCCAGCGCGATCCATGCTAGGCAGGAGTGGGGAGTGCCAGCCGTATGCCGTATGTTATCGGATCCGGACCTAAAGGAACTAGAGGACCTAAAGGAACTAAATAAAAGACTAGTTTACGTATGGATCAGCCAGCGCGATTGATGCTAGGCAGGCGTGGGGAGTGCCAGCCGTATGTCATCGGATCCGGACATAGAGGAACTATTAAAAGACTAGTTCAAGGAAATCTATTCAGTCGGAAGATCCGAGATATAATACAAGGCGACGACGATGGATTCGGCCTTGCCTATTGGCA